TATTTTACTTTTTAATTAATTTACTTTTAGTGTGCACCTTTGAGAAATTACTACCCTCAATCTTGCCTTGAAGATAAGGATATATTTTGAACTTGTTCTGAACAAAGTTGTGTTGTATAGTAAGAAAATGGTTTCTGTGTAACCTGGTTACTCTTCCGTTTCATGTGTCTAACAGAAATGATGATTTTGTCAATATTCTTTAGAAGTTTACTTCCTCACTTAGTCTAACTTGTCAGTTTATTTATGCTACACCTTCAGCCTCTGGCAAAGACATGACCAAGTTAAAGTTTTTTCTAATTCACTGTCAACAGAACTTGCAACCTTTCTGTGAAGCTCTAAATGCCAGTCTCCAGTACCCTGCTGCAACACTCTGGTAGAAAAACAGATAACTAGGAACAGGATTAGACTGCAGTGAATAGAGGTGTAACTAATAGCACAATTACTTTGGCAATTTAGTAGTTATCCACAGAACAGAACTTGAGTGCTGAATTCCTCTAGTTGCAGTAGGCTAATATATATTAGAGATATTTGCTTTTGGGGTCAAAGGTGATTGTAGTATGGAGCTGAGTAATACGTGATCTTAATGATTGCCTTTTTAAATTTTCAGGACAATGCATTTTGTAGGGAATATTAGTGTCCATTGCAATGTTAGGTACAAGGACCTATAGACGTGTAGTAATACTGTACAAATCCTAAATAGAAGTGCTTGAAAATTAATTTAAATTCAACTTGAGTCTTTGCTCTTTATTCTTAATTTTATGGATGCAATGAAATATGAGGACACTAAACAGACACTAGCAGTAATAAAAAGGGCTCAGAGATTGTTGATGTGTGTGCAACCACACATATTTAACTTTAAATTGAGTAGCTGATTAAACTGTCAAATGATTGCAATGTGATAATATTTCAAAGCAGTGCTAGTTTGGATCTTAGATTGAGCTTACTCCTATAATGAGCTATATTTGGCTTGATCTCCCAGCAAACCACTAAGGATGAGGGCATAAGGATAAGCAGAGTGTGAGAAGATCCCTGTGTGGACCTCACTGTGGAAATGGTCCTTCAGACATCTGAGATGTGGTAGCACAAAGTCATCACGCATTCCAGTGAGTTGTCTGGAGAGAAGCTGATGTGCCAGAATCGTCTTTGACAGTCACTGTACACTTGAGTGTTTCATTTGCTTTTACTTTGCCATCTTTAAGCTCTCAAAATACTAAAAGTGCCCACTGTCTCCCGCAGGGGTTTCTCCCGGAGGGTATGTTTGACCGCATCCTCACGGGGCCGGTGGTGCGGGAGGAGGTGAGCCGGAGAGGGAGGCGCCCCAAGAGCGAGATTGCCAAGGCAACCGCAGCTGCCGCCGCGGCCTCGGCCACCAGCGTGTCCGTGAACCCGCTGCTGGCCAACGGACTGATCCCGGGCGTGGATCTGCCCGGGCTCCAGGCCTTACAGCAGAACCTGCAGAACCTGCAGTCGCTGCAGGTGACAGCGGGACTGATGGGAATGCCAGCTGGCCTAGCTGCTGGAGGAGAAGCCAAGAACATGGCTGCCATGTTCCCCATGCTCCTGTCAGGGATGGCTGGATTACCAAACCTGCTGGGCATGGGAGGACTTCTGACAAAGTCTACAGAATCCATTTCGGAGGAGAAAAAGGGAAACGATTCAAAGGAGGTGGATATAAAGAAAGAAAGGACAGAGGATCAAAATACGGATACTGGTGGTGAAAACTCTGTTTCAAGTTCTCCTTCAACATCCTCTGCTGCTGCAGCTGCCAATCCTCTCTCTCTTAACCCTTTACTTTTGTCCAACATACTTTACCCAGGGATGCTTCTCACTCCAGGCCTTAATCTTCATATCCCAGCTTTGTCTCAGTCTAATATTTTTGATGTACAGAACAGTGAAAGCAATGACACAGGCTCAGCCAAGCCTACAGAAGAAAAGGAGGAAAATTCTAGGGTTAGAGATCAGGAAGACAAAGGGGGAACAGAGCCAAGCTCTCACAACGAAAACAGCACAGATGAGGGTTCAGAGAAAGCAGATGCTTCATCTGGATCTGATAGTACATCGTCTTCATCTGAGGATTCGGATTCTAGTGATGAAGACTGACCCCAGACTCTGCACTTAAATTATAAACTGATTTTGAATTTATTCTTTAATTATTTCATTGTAAATAACCCAGTGTTGAGTGCATCAATGATTTACTGACCGAACATTTCAGTATTTGTTTAGAAGTGCAAACTGCTTTCAGAGACGTTTTGCATGTAATATTTCTTGAAGTTCATAAGTTTCTGAACTTGTATGTACTATCAAATACACAATGGTGTAAAATTACAACAAAAGGCATTATAATTTTGTTGGGGGGTTAATTTTATGAAAATAATGCTCAAGTAAGAGCTGTATATTTAATATATTTGCAGTGAACACAGAATACTTTATGCATATTATTGATTTAATTTGAATATAGTTTTACAGCCTCCTTGACACTTATAATTTACAGATCAAAACTCAGCAATAATTTGGGCAGCTAATGAATGTCATGAAAGCTGTAGAATCTACATCACCATCCATTGCTTTAATTACATGAAAATGCTCTAGTGTTGTGATGCACTGCTGTTTCCAATTCAGGTACAAGTGTGTTTAAAAGAAGATAAATTTTTCCCAATCAGCCAATTAAACTGGCTACCTGTTACCTCAGCTGAGTTAGTTTAGGAAGTTTACATTGGTTTCTATTACTTGTTTTCAGGTTTTGTTTTGTTTTCTAAAGACATCCTGTATAGCATGTTAAAATCTGAGTTATTTGAGATATGACTGTTGAGGTTTTCTTTCCCCCTTACTAAAACTGTTCTCTTGGACAGCAGTAAGGGGCAATTAAAACAAAAACTGTCTTATCTCATGCTACTTGGCACCATGTAGATCTATTTAGTTTACACCTTGCAAAGTTTTGGGCTCCCTCTGCAGAATTAAAAGTCCCGAAATGAGGAGTAGTTTCCCCAAGACTCAGAAGAGGCAAACTGTCGTAAAGTGCCACTGAAAAGACCTTTCAACACTGCATAATTCATGTAAAAATTGTTTGTTTGCTTTGTTTGTGTAGATTTCTATTTGTGTTTTATGTCATAAAACCTCCTGGAGTTCCCAGTTAATAATGGTAAATAAAGTACAGACAGTTTTGAACTCCTTTTGAGTTTAAACTTCTCTGCAGATTTAAATCTGACTAAATATTAAATATTATCCAAAATCATTATTTGGATCTCACTTCCTATATTATGCTGAGTTACCCACTAAAGAAAAAGCACTTTGAATAGTAAGGAAGACAAATTATTCCTAGAAACCACAGTAACAGGGCATAAGGCATCTGTTTAAGTCCAAATCCTTAGAACCCTTTACTATATAAAATCTGTCTAAGATTTGATGTGTGATATGATTCCTCCTTCTTCTTAAGCTGCTACTACTCTGACACGGTCGAGGCCCAGATTCACATTCACAGAACTTCTGAACTGACTGAGACTTCAGTTGACCTTGGTTACATCATTTGTGGTCCAAGAATAGGCAAGTGTTAAGAGAAAATAGATACAGGTACTAGTGAAAGTCATGGAAAAAGCTTTACAAAGGGATAAATTTAAAAAGTAAAAAACAAAAACTGTATATTTTGATATAGTTCTGTTGCTTGCTTGTACAGTAAAACAACTGTGTTGTTTTTTATCAAGAACTTTACCAATGAAATATAAGTTTCTATGTGCAAAATAACTAGCCCCATGATTAGAAGCAGTATTAGATGTAATTACACAAGTACCATTTGGATTGTGCTGGTTACGTATTTTCCCAGATAGTATTCTGATTTTTGGCCCTTCATGCAGTGTCTTAGCAATAGTGAAAATCAAAAACTGCCAAGAGAAGGGGGTAGCAATTCTTCAGCATTAAAAAAAAAAAAAAGTATTTCATATTTAATATTTTGCCCTTTGTAATATAGCACTTTTATTTAACTAGGATGCATCTATGAAATAGCCAAAGTTTTACAAGCAGTTATTAACTTCATTTGCTGATGGAGTATGTCAACAATGCCATCACGTCCCACCCTTCCCCCACAAAACAAGTCCTAAATCTTGTGGCTAAAACCTAATTTATATCAGATTTATGAAATAAAGTATTTTCCTATTATGGTCAAGTGAGTTTGGTTACCATTCTAGTGATTCTTTCTATGTAATAAGGCAATTACAGTTTCAAGTAATGAAGGCTGGTGTAGACTTGAACATAATATATTTGGTTTATTTTTCATCAGTTTGAACCAGAAGGGGAAAAAATGTCCCACTATCAGCTAAACTATATGCAAATACGGTTGTATAAAGTTAAGGGTTATAAGGAAACCTCAGTAGAATTACACTAATACTGAAGTTAAAATTAAAAGGATATCCAAGGTGATGATAAAGTGTGTGTTGGTAGTTACTAAAAAAAAAACCTTAGCTGTTATTGCCTTGTATTTCTATCCCTTGTTTCAGGCTTCATGATCCAAGTCTTAGTCCAGGTTTTTTTTGGACATTTGCAATATTTGCCAGTTGTGTTCTGTGTAGTCTGAATTTGCTTTCTGTAGTTGAACGAGCGTCTTAAAAAGTCATTTGTAATTTATTGAATTACTTTCTATGATGTTCTATAGAGCAAATGGAAGTTTAATTATTTTTTATTAAACATATTCTTTGACTACCCGTGATGTCGGCCTCAATATGTGAAAGTAATGCTGTGTAAGGATTAAACCTGCATCTTCCAGCAGCAAGTTAAGTTTCAGTGCTAAGCTTTAAAACTGAAATTATTCTTAAGGTCTTTAAAAAAAATCACAGACAAGCCAAGGATGTAACATGCACCACCCCCTGCTCAGGACCATGTTCTACTCTTGTAGAATTTTACAGGGAATCAATTTCCTCTCATTCTCTTGTCTTACAAACAAAACAGGCTGTTGTTCCCAGCATTTCAGTACTCGTGGTTCAGAAGGAATATACGGTCCAGGTTCTGGTCCAGAAGTTGCCTGAATTTTGAATAATGATGCATCTAATGTTGCAGGGTAAGCACCTGAGCAGTGAAGTACCTTCTGAACCTTTCTTTCTAGAACTTTACATTACTTCCTACATGTTTATTATATCTTTTCATTATGTACACAGTGCTTACAATTGCTGTTTTTCATATATTTCACACAGGGCCACAGACTGTTCTGAACCTGAGTTGTCTCCTGATTGTCTGGTGCCACCTTGTTTCAACCTGCCATTGCTTTTGAATGATTCAATGATATCCTCCTTATTTATTTCAGTCTGAATTTGTCTTCAAATCGTGATCATCCTTTCTGAGCTTCTGCTTCCACAGATCTGCACACAGGTGATAAAAACGAACATGCATGTGAACCCTGTTCTCAAGTTCTCCCCTGTTTCTTTTTTTCCCTGGAAGTCCTGCAGAATCCCTAAGTAGTACTTTTTAAATTTATTTTTAGAGTCTATAAATTGAAATACAAGTAGGATCTATTTTTCAATGAAACTATTTCCAAGGAACAGATGATCCAGGAACTATATTGGTGGTTAATTTCTTTCACTCCTTTGAATTTTTTTGAAATGGTATTTGGATATTGTGATTAGATGAGACTGTTTAATGAGGTGTGCCACCCAAATTCCTGTCCTATTTGTTATATTTTGTCTCTGAGAAAATTATTTCCTCCATGTTATTTAGTAATATATTTTTCATTGGTTGCTCTGTATGACAGTGCTGATAGGCCATCAGAATGAAGGTTTAGTTCTTACTGCCTGCATTTAAGCTGTAGTGAGATGAGGTGTGTCTGGTGTACAGGGTTAATATAAAGGAATCTGCAGCGTAGTGTTACATGAAATTATTTGTGGTGTGCAAGTTACTATCATTTAGTTGTATAAACGGTTTCTGATCTAGTTCTAGTACACCTTCTATGTGAGCAGGCTGTCTCAGTGCAGTGTGGAATTTACACTGCTGTAGTTGGCCAACATTTAAAATTTTACATCTGTACGTTGTTGGGATATCGGGCTCATGGTGGTGTCTGCAGAGGAGACTAATTCTACCAGTGTAGCTGTGGGAGTTTACAAAACAACTGCTGGCTTATCTAAATGTCCCTAACGTTACACAAACAGGCAGTATAATTTCTTTGTTATATTTAGAGGAAAGGGAAATAAAGATAAAAGCTTTCCAGGGTTTTTTTATTATTTTTTTTTCTTTAATGCTGCCTCCTTTCAGGCTCTCTCACACAAGGAGGAAAGAAAAATGCCATGCACAAGATCCCGCATGAAGTTAACACTGGAAAATGAGGATTTGTTTTCCCTGCCTCCTGTCTGCTTCAGTTGTGAATGAGACCAACACTGCACAATTCTTCTTTAGTGTTCCAGGTAAAGCCTCATGAATATAAGGGAGGCTGGTTTGGGAAATTCTTGGGATCCTAATGTCAGCCATGGTATCATCTCTCTTTCACTAGTGTTTGCTGGTAGCATGTTCTCAAAGTCTTTTGTGTTCTGAAAGGATCTTTTGTGTTCTGATTTGGGAACTACCCTGTCAGCTCCTCTGCTTCACACAGTTTCTGATCTTCTGCAGCTTCTCAAATCAGGTGGCAATATTACATTCATAAGCAAAATTTCTGAAACTCCACAACAGTAAAAAATGTACATCATTGTAGGATAGAGAAGCAGCTGTCAGGGATCCAGGCTGAGAGGGTGTTTGTGGCTGTAACTTGCAATATTGGTAGATAAAATATGGAGTCCAGTGGTGGAAATTATTCAAGTAATTAACAAGCCAAATGCGGACAAGATCAAAAGAGACAAAGCCAATAAATCTCTATTAATAAAGTGCAGCCTGTTTTATTGATCACAAACCTTTGTTTTTCCCACCTCTCTGCTTGGTGGGAACTTTACCAGTGGCAGGTCCTGCTGTATCTTCATAAGGTGTTGCTGTTTATACTTTGAAAACTGAAATTAATTGATTCACTCCCAGTTACTGGGGTAGCCGTTTAAAAGCTTTGACTCAAACAAAAGTGCTTCAATAAAAAGCGAATCTTTGTTATGCTGTGGTCTCGTTTTGACATGGCTTTTTCTCCGTGATGCTCTGAAGCTCTGTCTGAAGAACCGAAGACTGGTTGTGTGAATGCAGAACAGAACCTGGATTCATTGTCTTCGCTTTTATCTAATGGTCTCTTACCACAGTTCTCCGGTCACGGGGTTTGTTTCTCTCAGGGAGATCTCAAACCCTTGTGCAGCGTCGGTGACCCGGGTGTGCAGTACAGCCTGCACTGAGCAGTGTGTGCGGTGACACCTCGCCCCGGCCGTGTGCGGTGACACTCCTCACTCACACGGTGTGCGGTGACAGCCCGCACTAACGCGGGGTGTGGGTGACCCCTCGAATGACTCGCTGTGTGCCCCCCCTCTCCCCTCAGCCACCTCCGTCCCCCCCGCGCGCGTGCATGGTAGGAGCGCGTGCCGTGCGCGATGCGCGCAGGCGGGGCGGGGCGGCGGTTCGCCCCTCCCTCCCGCCGCCGGCCAATTAGCGGGAGCGGCGCGCGGCGGGGGCGGGCCCGCGCGGCGGTGTTTGGATGCGAAGGCGCGGGCCGTTGGCGCAGGCGCGGTGCGCGCGCCGCCGCTGCCCCCAGCGGCGGGGCGCGGCATGGCGGGCGAGGACGCGGCCGGGCCCGAGCCGGGTCCCGCGGGGGGCGCGGCCCCGCCCCGTCCCCGCCGGGCGAGGACGGCGACACCCGACAGCGCTACGAGGAGCTCTGCAGGAGCCTCAACATGGACGAGCGCGCCCGCGCAGAGGCCTGGCTCAGCTACCAGAGCATGAGGCGCAACTACACCCTGGAGGTGCCGGAGGGGCCCGGGCGGGGGTCGCGGCGGCCCGGGGAGGTCCCGGCGGGAGGTTGAGGCGGGAGGGAAGGGGCGGCCCCGAGGGCGCGGCGGCCTCTCCTTTGCATCGCCCGGGAAAAAACATCGCAGTTCCGAGCCGTAGCGGGGGAAAGGTGTTAAAAATAGACGTGCCCCCGTCGCTGCGGCCCTTCTGCCGCCGGCACAGCGGCCTCGGCCAGCGCGGGGCCCGCGGAGGTGCCCAGCGCAGGTGCGATAACATTTATTAGTTATTTATTAGGGGCCGGCTTGGCCGCGGCACAGCCCGGGCCGGGGGCCAAAGGGTGAAGGGTTGTGTCACGTCGCTCTCGCAAACAGGAACACGCGGGGACGCGCCCGGAGCTCGGAGGCGCCTTTATCGGGGGCGCTGAGCGGCGGGGGTGGCGCTGCTGATAAACCGCGTCTGTCCGAGCTCCCAGCGCTGCCCTGCCCGTCCAGGAGCGCTCACAGGGCAGCCCCAAACCCGGGCAGGTGCTCGGCCCTGCGGAGGGAGGAGGATCCTGCTCTGCCCTGACAGCGCTTCTGTCACACGCACACTGCTCGTGGGCATCGCTGCCGGGCCGGGATGCTCGGAGGGGATACTGATACTGCCCCTTCCCCCGGAGGTGTGCGCTCACCCGGCCCCGCGATACCACATAGCCCAAAAACCACAGCATCGAATTCAAGTTTGGTTCTGTCCATCCTTTTCCCATTTAAATGTTTTTACTTGATCGAAGAGGAGGAATAAAATTTCGGGTGTTCGTTAGAATTCATTTCTGTCTTTAGGTACCAGACTGAATAATTGTTCTGCTGTGCAGTACAGAGCAAAATGGAAACTTATGTTTTTCTTTTCCCACTGTGTGTTCAGGGCAGAGGAATGTTCTGGCAGCAAGGAAATGCAGCCGGTTTTTTTTACGTTAAAAATCAGGGAAGTATAAAATGCTACAGGAGAAGAACAACACTAAAAATACATTGCTACGCTTTGGGTCAAGGATGAAATTAGTGATGGTAACTAGTAATTTTAGTTTGGATGCAGTTTGGTATTAAGTATCTGTTTAGCACCTGCTTTCTTGTGGTTAAAAACACAAAGCACAGCAGAACTTTGAAACAGCAAATCAACTTTGTCACTGGTTGAACTTCATCTGTTTAGGACACTGTTCTTTCCCCTGGAGTTGGGTTGGCTGAAAAGTATGTTTTCCTTTTCAGTGAAGTCTTTTAAATGCCTGATGTTTTGATTCACAGGGAAACGACATGCATTGGCTGGCCTGTGCCTTGTATGTGGCTTGCAGGAAAGCAATTCCAACTGTGAGCAGAGGGACAGCTGAGGGAAATTATGTGTCTTTAACCAGAATCTTGCGCTGTTCAGAGCAAAGGTAACTTTTCTTTTTGGTGATTTTTAGACACTTAAAAAATCTCAAAGACTGCTTATCAGCTTGTGAAATTTAGAACTAGAGAGCAAAAGCTAAATGTATTTCTTGTTTCCTGCTTTAAAGGTAGAATTTGTATCTCTAGCATGTTTGTATCAGAGCTCATTGCCACAGGGATAAGGCAGTTCCATTTGCTTAGTACTATGCTCTAAAAACACTGATTTTCAAAATAATAGGTTGACTTCCTTCTCTCAAAGGAGAAAGAAGCCAGGCACTGAAGAACAGTCAATTTTTGGAGTGTGCTAAGTGTGAACTTCTCACATCAGAAACCATTTTTAATTGGCTGTGACAATATTCACACAATCTATCTAATTTTTTTGTGTAAGAAAACTTCATTTTTCACGTGTTCTTGCTTAATGAAACTAAAGCGTTGTCAGAATCTGATAAACAAATCTGTGTCAAATGTGTATGTCCACAAAGCAATGAAGAGAAGCTTCCTGAAACAATTGGCTTTATTTATTAGCAATCCGTTTTCTAAAAATTCAGTAGATAAGCCCAAAAAGGAAAAAAAAGGTAATGTTATTATGCACTTTTTCTCCCATTTCCTCTACTGTTGGAGCATTGCTGTTGGTTCAAACACTGCAAAAGTGTTCCTCTATAAATTTTTGTTTTCCAAATCAGAAATTCAGGGAATTGAATGTAGGTAAATTTGTTCTGTGATCTAGGCTATCAAATACTAGTAACGCTGAAAGTGTAGATAAAGAAGCAAAAAAATGAATGAAAGTCAAATTTACCAAGTGTAATTTGCTAAAACTTAGGGGTTTTTCATACTTTGTAGAATATTTTTAGCATCGTAGGACTCAGCATTTGTTTTATTTAAGTTAATAAATAATTTAGGAAAATGAAGGAAATCTGATTTTAGCTTAATCTGACTGTTGGAGCTGATTTTGTCTTTATGAGGAAACACCAGAGCTGCTGAGAGTACCTTGTTAACACAGTTAACAAGGATCTAAAAATATTTTGTGAGCTGTCTGCGCTCATCCACGTTCATGGATGAAGGACTGGCTCTGAGGTGCTTGTCGTGTTTGCAGTACCATCATTTTATCAGTAGTTTGGGAAGTAAAAATTGCGCTTTTGCTGAAAATGTGTAGTTTATTTCTGCAAGAAAAACAGCTTTTCACATCTAATCCATTGGGTATTTCCAGCTTGATCGAGTTTTTTAACAAGATGAAGAAGTGGGAAGACATGGCAAATCTGCCGTCCCAGTTCAGAGAACGAACTGAGAGATTAGAGAGAAACTTCACAGTTTCTGCAGTCATTTTTAAGAAGTATGAGCCCATTTTTCAGGATATTTTCAGGTATCCTCAAGAAGATCAACCTCGCCAACAGAGAGGAAGAAAACAGAGGTACATTTCTGTTGTTCCCAGCCTGATTTTAGAGCGTTACTATAGGGAAAATATAATGAAGTTGCTTGGTTGTTTTAGTTGTATTTTGGCTGTATTTTCACAGGAGTTCTTTATACTGTTAGAGTTGGTCTGTCTGTCCTTGCTTGCAGTAATTTTTTAATCTCTTTTTCAATTTCAGATCTGACAGGGTGAAGGAAATCCCAAAGCTGCCAAGTTTTTATGATTTGGGGAGTGGAGGAAAGGGGAGACAATCAAATCAGTGTGTAGTCAAGGGAAATACTAATATTTCTAAGATGGGAAAGGCTGGAAAAATGTGATCCTTGTATGATCTGCAAAGCTTTAATAGCTCATAGCACAACTCAGCCTGTTTCACTGTCCAGTAACTCCCGTGGTTTTCTTCATAGGTGCAAATCTGGTGGATATTTTATTTTATAGTGGAAACTTTGTTTCTTTGTTACTGTTCACAGTAAGAATGCTGTGAAAATGAACCATTACATGCAGGGTTCCACTTGTGTCTGCACTAAACCAGTGTGCAGCTTTCATTATTACTTCAGTCAGGGTTTTGTGGGAGGGTATAAGGTTTTGGCCACGCTGTAGTAAAGCTTAATTTTCCTTTGGAATTATTGACTGGTTTATGATGTTTTATCAGTTTTGATTCATTGAACTTATTGGGTGTCTTTGCTGTGTTTTCCTCTCAAAGACGCCAACCATGTACTGTGACTGAAGTTTTCCAGTTTTGTTGGGTGCTGTTTGTTCATGCAAAAGGTAAGAGATCTGAAAGGTATTAAATACAGCAAACATGATGTTGTTAATCCTTACTTTGTATCAGTCCTTAAAGCACAGAAAAGGTGGAGGCATTTCTGAATTCAGAAATGCTTTTGGAGAAGGGGCCTTCTCACAACAGCCTAAAGGAATGTGTTCTGTCCCAAGTTCCCCAGCTGCGTGTTTTACCACACTTCCAAGGTGAGAGTTAGTACTGTACTTTATTTCCAGTCATTTGGGACTTCACTTCTTTAGCACAGTTAGACAGCTGAGAGAGTAAGTAGGTCAGTCTGAAAAATTACAGGTTTTTCTTTTCCCTTCTTCTACGTGAAGATTGAACAGTTGACAAGGTGCAAAGGGACTTTATGGGTCTTCCTATTGCTAAATTGTTGGTTAATATGTTTGATTAACTATATCATCGATTGACTACATCTTAATTAGCGAGCAGTTTCAGACATGCTAATGAAGTTTGTGGAGAATACCACACTGGTAACCCATCCAATTCAATTTCACGAAAAAAAGAAAAATTTACAGTAAATGTAAACTCTAAAATTAGTAAATGATTATTAAAGTGTGGCAGCACAAAAATGGAAACTAAATGTTGACCATTTAAGGCATTAAGTATTCAGGGTTTTGTCCTCTGTGTTT